AAGGTTGCACAATTAGTTAGGTACCCTTTTTTTTTTTTTTTTTTTTTTTTTTTAATAAAGAATGTTTTCTTTTTCATAGTCATTTTATGTAACAATAAATATTGACAAAATGCTTTTGGCCCTAAAGAGAGGCAACTAGTACTTAACTTCATTGGCTATATTGATAAAATGCTGACTTCCTTTGACCTCTGTTTGTTCCACAGATTATTTAGGAATCTAGGAGGTGCCCTGGTGGCACAGTGGTTAAAACAGTCAGCTGTTTAACCGAAAGGTCTGTGGTTCAAACCCACCAGCCAGTCCGTGGGAGAAAGATGTGGCAGTCTGCTTCCGTAGAGATTACAGCCTTGGAAGCCCTATGGGGCAGTTCTTCTGTGTCCTATAGGGTTGCTATGAGTTGGGGTTGACTCGATGGCAACAGGTTTGTTTTTTTGGTACTAGGAAGCAGGCACTGTGTTAAATGGTGTGGATAAAAAAGTAAAGACAGGCGAAGTGCCTGCCTTTGGAGCTTATAGTCTGTTGGGGAGATAGACTCCAAACAAACATAATTACAGATTATGACAGTTCTCATGAAGGAAACTAAAAGGACAATGGGAGAGACTATGACTGGGGCAACTCTTCTAGATAAGGTCAGGGAGGCCCCTCTAAGGAGGTGATGTTTGACATTAGACCTGAATGATGAGAAGGACCGGTAGAGGCAGAAGGGAGAACCGGTGTGGAGACCCTGAGAGGAGGAGGAAGGAGCTTGGTGTGACTGAGGAACTGAAAGTTCACTGTGGCTTGAAGCTTAGTGAGTGGTGAGAAAAGTAGCATGATGAGAATCAGAGAGGTGGGCAGGGGCCAGCCCATGCGGTGTCTTTTAACCATGTGAGGAGTTGGATTTTTATTCTAAAATGCAATGGGGACTCCACTGAAGAGCTTGAATAAGTATGTGTACGTAGGACAGAGTAGATGATGTCTTGCAGAGAAGGAATTGGAGAGGGGCAAGAATTGAAGCTGGAACACCTTTAGGAGGTTGATCTTCATTCAAAAAGCCATTCCAGACTCTAAAAATACTGTAGAACGCAAAGTCCCTGCCTTCAGGAAGTTTCTATTGTAGTTAGGGGAGGCAGTTAACAAGTAAATAATATCAGCTAGAACTAAGTGTTATATAGAAGATTAGAAAAACCAGTTCTTTCAAGTTGATTTTGACTCATGGTGACCCCAGATGTGTCCGAGTAGAACTGTGCTACAGAGGGTTTTCAGTGGCTGATTTTTCAGAAGTAGATGGCTTGGCTTTTCTTCTGAGGTGCCTCTGGGTGGACTCGAACTGTCAACCTTCAGTTAGCGGTTGAGCTTGTTAGCTGTTTGTACCATAGGGGGACTCCAGAAGATTAGAAGGGGACACTTAAGTTGAAGGTTGGATGACAAGAAGGAACAAAGCTTGTGAAATTCTGAGAACAGTCCAGGCCGAAAGAACAAAAAGCAAATTCAAAAGGCCTAAAGAGGGAAACAAGAGTAGTAGATGAGAGATGATGATTTAGACCACTGTGGGGGACAGGGGATCTGGAGATAAGAATATATGAATCATCAATCTAAGAGTGGTATTTAAAGTCACCTGACTGGGGTCTTTATGAATAGAGAAGGCGGCCCAAGATAGCCTAGGCACGCCCAGCATTTAGAGGACAGAGGGAGGGGGAAGAGCCAGCAAATAGGCTTTGAGGTAGGAGGAAAACCAAGGGTGTAGTGTTCTGGAAGCTAAGCAAGGATTAGAGGGGCAGTGTTTCGAGAAGGAGGGAATGGTCAGTTGTGTCCAGTGCTGCTGGGAGATGGAGTAAGATGAAGATAGAGAAGAGTCAGTTGGATCTGGCCACTTGCAATTCCTTAGTGACTTTGAAAAGAAGAGGTTAGATGGAGTGGTTGAGTCAAACTAGATTGGAGAAGATTGAAGAGTGAATTAAGAATTGAAGAAGTGTAGTCAAATATTTGGAGAGATTTTGATGTAGAGGAGAACAAAGGAGTTTTACTGAGGAGGGAGGAAGGTGTGATCAAAAGGAGAGGTTTTCTTTTTTGTTGTTGCTTCTTTAACAAATTAAAAATATTCTACTAGATGCTTTTTAGAAAAAACTCTTATGAGAACTCTTAATTGAAGTATCACAAATTAAGTGTATGGTTTGATCAATTTTCACAAAGTAAACATATCTGTACAACCAGCACTCAGATCAAGAAGTAGAACGTTACCAGAAGTTCGCTTATGTCTCCTTCTATCTACCTACTAACCTCCCCTCAAGAATAACCATTATCCTGATTTCTAACACCATGGATTAATTTGCCTATTTTTGAACTTTATATATATGGAGTCATTTAGTAAATATTCATTTGTGCCTGTCTTCTTTTGCTAAACATTAAGTTTTTGAGATTCATCTACACTATTGTGTCAGTAGTTTGTTTACTATGAAGATAAAGTAATTTATTCCTCCATTCTACTGTTTATGGACGCTTGAGTTGTTTCCAGTTTGGGGCTATTACAATAGTGCTACCATGAACATTACTATATACGATGTATTTCTGTTGGGTATATACCTGGAAGTGGAATTGCAAAGCCATGGGATGGGTATATATATATTACATCTTTAGTATATAC